CACAGTGTCATATGACTCGCTGACGCAACAATACAATTTGCCACACCTCAAAGGATGTAAGGCCTAGAGGAAGAGTTGGTCATCTGAGAGAGTAGATGTTTTTGAAAGTCCTCTCTTTGAATTTGACTTTTGCCACTGTTGTGAAGGTCGATAACTATGACATCACAACAACCCACGACTCAGGAGTAAAAAACTAACAACGGGAGGGGGGTCAGTACATGACTCTCAGGTTGATGCCAGAATAATACAACCTCAGTTTTGGTCACAACTCTATGAGAACGAAAGACTGGAAGCACCAGGGGCAAATGCTGCCTGCCAACCCAAGCTCTCTTACTAGAAGAAGAGATCGCAGGTGCTGTGTGAATTGTGTGGTGGTGATGAGCCTCCTAGACTAGAAAGTATAACTCCGACGTCGATGAAATCTACAAAGGGCTATGGGGTCCAATAGAGGCAATGTTCTGTTCCTCTAATTGAGGAGCAAACCACCTATTGGAGCATAGTGCATCTGGGCATTTCTACCATATGGAACTAAAAATATCGAGAACTTTTCAACCAGGTCATGAATAGGAAGTGACAGAGACTTTTTAGTCACACCCATGGGTCTCTGTGAGTATGACCAAACAAATCACTCCTCATCAATGTCTAAAATGTTTTGAGCAAGTGATTACTGGAAATGGTTGGACTCCCAAACAAGTTGTTCAACATCTCGTTCTTAGTCTGGATAGTCCAATCCTGGACTCAATAAATCATTTGTATGAGTGTAGTATTTTCAGGTTGAAACTTATTTCTCGACAAATATTAAATAGCTAAATTCGCTAACAACAGTAGATTCGCTCATGAGATAAATAATAATAATGTTACGTCTCTGGTCGTTAGTTAATTTCCCATATAATTTCTTTCTGATGAAACTTTAGCGACACAAGTCCCTTCTTAAATAAAACTAGTTTATTTTTTCTCAATACAACTTTGCAAAACACTTTGCAATTCACAACAAACGACTCACGCGCTCATCTCAACTGTCCGTCTCTATCTTTGTCTGCAATTCCACTAGATTCCATTGTTGCCGTCACTTCTTGGCGGTCTTATATACATGAATACCGCATATCTAGTAAACACTCAAGCATTCACGAACCTTCGAGAATATGACGTGTTACTAGGGTCACGTGACCCCCGCTGTCGTAACAATAATTTGTGTTGGAAAACTTGAATGGATTTCTGTAGTGTGTATATTAAATAGTGAGATTGGACAGGTTAAAAAGTAACACAACCTTTATCATGAAACCACTGTGATTTATAGCATGTGTTATAAAAGTTGTTAAGTTGAAAGTGACTGTGGAAATTCTGGCTATTACAAAGTTGTATCGAAAAAGAATAAACTAGTTTTAATTAAGAAAGGACTTGTATCTTAATTTCAACAGTCGTGCTATAACAAACGTCTCACATGCTCGACTTCAACAATACTCAGTTCAATTACACACTCTCTGACTGCAGTTCAATTACTCATTATCCTCCACGTCGCTTCGTGGCCGGTCTTATATATACAAGACTACACTGTATCTAGAAGGATCCCAAGATTTAACGAAGGGACGTGAATGTTCGAGAACGACGTGACGTGATACTAGTCACGTGACCCCGCTGCGGCAACACTGCCCTCTCCTTAGTATAGTTCGTCCCGAACAATAGCCACTAACATTAAACCAATAACAATTAACAATAACTTAATTAAATGTACAGAATTACAACACAAAATTACAATTCAACAAAGTCTCTTAATTTTACGGGACGTATCTTCTTTCGTACTGGTCTCAGTCTCGTTGGCTTCTGCTTCATGTGGGGTTCATCTGCTTCATCAGGGAATGTTCTATCATCAATAACAGTCACATCAGTGGTAGTAACTTCATCAAGAGCTTCACCATTTCCCTTCTCAAAACTGAGTAGAGTTTCTTCCTCGACAGTGGCTTTTTCAGGTGGCACGTCTTCAGCAGCGTCATTTGTTCTGTTGTCCACTTCGTCCCAACTGAAATGTCCTGGACCGTTTATAACGCCAAAGTCTGTTGGCATGCACCACTTTTGGCTTACCTCGCCGACCACATTTTATCCAGAAAGTCACGTCTGAGAGACGATCCACTATGTCATATGGGCCTTCCCATGGAGAAGACAACTTTGGTTTTCCTGGGATCATACAACCACACCTTGTCTCCTGGTTCAAAGCTGACTTCAGTAGATCTCTTATCATGAGATAGCTTCATCGAATCAGCAGACGTTTTCAAGTTTGAACGTACTTGATGGTGAATATCATCCATCCTTTCTGATAACACTTCCACAAACTCTGACATATTCACA